GTGCACTTAACCTTATTATGCAATGGAAAAATTGTACAAGCATAAAAGCCGATGGCTTTTTTTACTTTACTACCATCTTTCATGCCATAAATTCGGGAAATGTTTTATTATGTGATTCAATGAAATGAAAACAATAACTAAAATTATAGATTGTTTTGAATAAATTTAATCCGCTTGTAATTCATTTCATTGTGCATGTTTTAATTAACAGAAATTGCAAGTGTAATTTTCATTTATAGAGATTAAATTGAACCATGAACATATGGTTGAAATCATATTTATTTGTGTAAAAGAAAAATAAATTACGTTAAATTTGAGCTTTTGTACGGTATTAATTAAAATTATATTGTCCTACAAATAATAATTATTTTAACTAAAGAGGTTTTAACTTGATCAAATATTACAGCTGCTAAATAATTTTAATAATTATGAAATATTTTGTTAGTGAAAAATTTTTTAAGTTTTTTTTATAACTGATATTAAATTTATACTTGCATGAAATGTGAATTATAATGTGTACTAAAAACTTTTAAAGGAAAATTTATTAAATAAAATATAATTATGTGAAGTAGAAAGAAAATTAAGTTAAATTAACCAGAGTTTGTTAAATATGAGCTTGTACAAAATAAGAGTAATTTTGATAAGAATATGACACGAAAATCAAGTATGTGACAAGTGCTACCTTAGCTAATTGCCATTCCTCGTTTTACGAGTAAACACTATTAAGATTGATTAATTATTCTCGCGTTCATCAACGATGTTGATGTTGATTTTGATGTATAGTGATTGAGTTATGACATAACAGCGTGTTTATAATTTTCTTATAATAATAATAATAATAATAATAATAATAATAATAATAATAACAACGCCTACCATCTTGATATTTGCGTTTATATTTAAAATTTTAATTCATTCGATATTTATAACTTCACGGGTAATTCGCTAATTCGATTTATCTGAATTTTTCTGTCTATAATTGAACTCACATGCAATTTTTTTCTTTTCATAACAATATTATGTGAAAGCTCAGAGTTGCTGTATAAATAATGAAGAGATCAAAAGTAGAAATAGATAGATGGAGAAGTTAATTTAAAGCTTAATATAGTATTTCAATGTAGAAATAAGCTTATTATGCTTCATGTGTTTGCAACGCAAAGATTAATCATTAGAAGATCTGTTATTGAAGGTATATTTACTCAGTATTATTCAAATCTCACAGTTTATTCACGAACTCATTGTGGTAAAAGAAAATATAAAATAAATAATTTCTCTTATTTGTAATTTCATTAAATTTTAACACTTATGAATTTTAAATTTAACTGAATATTTAATGCATTAAAGTTAAGGAACGCACTACTAATTGAATTTACCTTCACATGCATAAATATTTGTCAGGAGGTATTCTCTTGGAATAACATACTTTTGAAAACCAATTTATAAATCCACAATTTAAATTCTGATAATCCATTTTCTGTTGTTTAATAAATCGTGAATTTTTAATGACATCAAACTGTTCAAAACAAAACTTGTTATAAACTTGTGAGTGATAGAATTATAACTGCCTGTTTAAACATGCTTTATTTCACTTTAAAGTTTATATCCAAGGATAAAACGGCGAATTGAATGACGAAACAAAACTCTAAAGTTCATTGAAAAAATTACAATAGTTATTAAAATATTTCTTTTTAATTTGAATTTTCTGCAGTTCTTATAAAAACTTTTCTATACCTGTGATTGAAACAAAACTTCTGTTTCTGTTTTTGCGAAAGAAAAAAAATTAAATTTTTGAGACATTAAAAATAATAATTATTGTAGTATTATTTCCTGTAATGATTATTACTGAATAAGTAAAATACTAATATCAAGGAAGGATTAATACTTAACAGAAATCTAAACATGTTGGCTAAACACAAATCTAGCATGTTGGCTATTGAAGAGAGTGAAGTGTAGTTGCAAGAAGACAATGCGCCTTGCATTGCTTGAATTGAACTATAACATCGCGATTACGTCCCACTTGTATTGTTGGTTAGTGATTGTGCTCTAGATCCACCTAGCTTTCCTGTGAGCTTACTAGCAAGCTAACCCTTGCTTCATCGGGCTGTAAATTATCGAAATGACCGAAACCTTATTCTCATCCTCTTCCCCCAGCTTATGAACAATAAGCCCTGTTCAGCGTATTCTGAATATCTTCTCCTCGAAACCCACTACGACCTTTCATCTTCAGCTCACTATTTTTTAGGATTTAATCCTTTGTTATTCTGCATCCACTGACCATTTTTGTGAATTATTGGGATCCTGGAATACCTTGCTGTTATTTATTTTTATTTAAGCGATGAGTTATTCGCTAAAAAAATAATAAAATTGTTATAAACTGATAAAAATGAGCTATAGATAATGCTCGAATGAAAATGCTGGATTTCTACAAAGATCTGTCTTTGCACGTGAATAAAATTCTAGTCCACAGGATTTTCATCGAACGTACTCAAAGACTTAGCTCGAATTGAGAAACGGGCTGAATTTTTGTCAAATAAGAAGGATCTCTTAAAATCAATGTCTATAATCGATTTGCACTTAAAGTGCCTTTAGAATATTAGTGAATAAAGAGCATAAAAAATTTTGCCTCGCCCGTTTTTTTTTTTAACGTTGCACAGAGTTACGTTGCGGAATTTTATCGAATCCTAAAATAAGATTCCACTTCTCTGCTTGAGACACTCGTGCATTCACAAACGCAATAGATTTCCCGATTTACTTCTATAAGATACCTAAAAAAGCTTCAGTTCAATTATTTATTGTGTTTCGTTAATTTCAATTTATTTATTTTTGTTTTGTTATTAACTAATAAGTTGTTTAGAGCAAGATTGTTTATTTAATTGAAAGAACGGAAGTGCTCAAGGTGAGATTTTAGCTTATGGAAATTTATCAAGCATTAGCATTTGCATTGAAATCTCCAATAAGGATTTTAGTGAGCATTAAATTGGCGATAGTAGTAAAAATAAGATCGTATATACTACCGTGGTAATGGCCCTCGGAGTGCATAGAGTAAACAGAAGAGATTATTCAATAAATTTCACTTTATTAATAATTTAATCGGCTAACTTTAATTAATAACTATTGATAATTGTATTTATAATACTATATTCTTAATTAATTACTTTCTAATAGAAAAGCTTTTAATCCTGGTGTGTGGTATAGATTTACAATTTTTCATGGTATGCATACTTTTTTATGAGAGCTATTGATTGTAATTTTTATTTTATTTCTGCTTTCTTTTATTCAATCAAAAAAGCCATTTAATTTGTACTGTACAAGCCAGATTTGATTTTGAGCTTTTTGATTTTTGAAAAAATTTTATTTCAAGTATCATGAAAACTGGGCAAGGTTATAAATTTAAAATTAGTTCAATAAATTTAAATATTTTCAAAGTTTCTTTATTACATTTTTTTTCTTACCAATTTTTAGGCCCATTTTTGAAATGGTAAAAATAAATACTCGTAATATTATTGAGTGAAAAAAATGGCGTTAATTGACGAGCAAATGCTTGTTATTTGACCAAAGTCAAAATTGATGTTCATTACAGATCATGAATTGTACATCACATTCATACACCAATTAAATTTCAATCATTTGCATTCTATATATAGGCGTAGTCAAAGAATTTCAAAAATTAATTGGAATCAAATAACAAACCTTTCGACAGTTGAATTTTTCATGAAAATAATACCATTCTTCGATTAGCGTATCGAATATCAACAGCAAATAATCAATATTTATTTTAGTATTGTTATTATTCTTATAAATAACCTATGAAATTGATACAGACAGGATATCGAGCTGTCAAATTCAAAAGGGATTTACGGAATCCAACAGCGTATCTATGACTACTGTTGATCCAGTTAATTAATCAAGTTACAGATGAATATGAATCTTCTTTTATCCTAAAATTTGTAAAAAGGATTAAACAAATATTTATTACTAATAATACAGTGTTATGTTTAATACTATGACCTTTTTCAGTGGATAACAATATGTTGTTTCTCAATGATTGCTCTTTTGTGTTGAACAAAAAAAAAATTTATAGATGTAGAAGTAGTGCTGGCAATTCTACACTAGACGAAGAAATGGGATTTGAGAAATGAAAAGGACTATTGAGTCAAGCATTCTCAAAGGTCTATTGAGAGCTTAATTATTCCGAGTTCGTTAGATTGGGTGATTGTCCCCTGATTGAACATTACGTTGTTAGAATAAATTATTCAAGGCATTACTATTTTATTTTATTTTTTTATTTTTACATTCTGAACTGACTAACATTTTCGGCACAATACTCTTTGATATTCTGGAGCTCAGAAGAATGATAAAGAAACGATAGGACCAAAAAGGTTCCGATCAATTTGCATGCTAAAGTCTCCGTTGTATATTTCAAAACTGTAAATGTAAGTTTGCATATATTGTATTACTTTGTGTAATTTATGTTATATTTTTATGATCAACTTTTATTCATACACAAATATATATGTCCAAGGAACAGATGGTCTTTCGTAGGTGCTTTCGTTAGACGTTAAATTTTCCAAGACTCCTGGGACTTAAAAGAGTAATATCTCTGTTTAGTTTGTCTACTGATAAAACCTCGAAATTTTCTTTCCAGTCGCGTATTCGTTCGTATGTTTTTCTTTGATCTATATGTCATTATTTATTTATATTGCTTTGATTTATTTATTTGCGGTCGCTTACTCATGGAATACATCAAACATTTTATGGCTCATCAATAAAAATATTAAATATTATCTACCTTTATATCTTTACCAATAATTTTTTTATATTATACACGTAAAACATTATTTACGTTTACATTTTTTCTCAAGATAAATAGAAGACGGCTTTAATATTTTTTCAATAATTATTGTTATTGTTATTACTACAGGAGAAAAATATTTATTAAGTAATAATATATTATTTTTTCTTTTGTCGAAATTTAAAGCTACATAATAAAAAATTTAGGGCGCGCAGTAGCCTATCGGATCCGGCCCTTGCTACCAAAGCATTGGACCGGGTTCGAATCTGGCGTACACCAATGAATATTTTCAATATTTAAGTGTATATTATTCTGCTCAGCCCAAGAAATACAAACGAGTTCCAATCTCAAAAGTGTACCCCCTACCGTAGTCGCTCATGACCAAAAACTAAAAAATTTAAAGGAACAAATTTTTTTACGAGTTATTGATTAACAATTAAAAGTCGAGATGCTCGTTAATTACTGAACGAATAGTTTGCATATTTAAATATACGACAACGGATTAGCAGTGAGGAAATGAATTGCCATCAATCCTCGGCTAATGTTTTAGATATGCAATCAGCCAAAAACCAATTACACTGTTCTTGACTGCAAGAGGATTTGCGTTAAAATGAGGATAGATGGAATAGTCCTGACAGTAGGTTGAATAGAGAAAATGAAAATAAAATTAAAAAAAAAAAAAAAACTATGAAATTATACGAAAAGCGACGGAGAAATGAAAAACGTGTTGACGATAATGAAAAAAGTGAAAAACAAAAACAAGTTTGCTCGTCAGAACAAAATTGATTCTGATTGCCGTCGATTTAATAATAGAAATGAATTTAACTTGTCTACACTTGACGTTCGTACAATATGGACCGCGTAATTGTTTTGTTTCTGCTGTCAATTCTGAAACCACACCCACCAGTGCATATTATATATTTATTTGCCTATAGTTATGTGCATGTATGTACAACATAGATATATTTATATTTATACGTTGAACAGTTTAATGTTCCAAACTGGAAGGTCACATAAATGTCTAGAACAATACCAAGTTTCGCGACGACGTGATTTTCATTCTCATATATTTCACCAAATACAGTTGAAATTTCTCGCTCAGCTGTGTATGATTTTAGAGTTATTGAAATACTCATACTTTATTCACGGTTTTCTTCATATTATACATGTAATATATTATTTTTATTTTTTTGTTCAACGCATGCATGGAGCATGAGCCGACTAGAAATATATTAATTTAATAAATAAATAAAACTATCGTGCATGGGTTAAACAATTTATCATCGGTGTGTGACAGGTGTCCATCCGGGTAAAAAATTTAAGGACGTCTATCATTAACATCCACGACTTTACGGCCCTCCGCTCAATTGTCTCGGATTTTTATGGGACTCCCCAGATTTTTTTTCCTTCGTGCAACGCGGAAACTGTATATCCATCCCATTTTTATTCATTATTTTTATACAAAGATTAAAAAAATTATCAAATCTCTTTTCAGGGATTATTTTTAAATAATAAAATTCATTAAATTTAACGAGTGCGTAGAAGCGTAAATAATAACGTTATTGTTTAAAACACTGCTTATTTGTTAAAGATGTAAAGGATATCAATTTAAATGAATGAATGAATAGCCTATTGTTTTTCGAGATATGGTCTGCATGAAAATATTTTCATGAGCTTTATGCTGTTGCATTGAATTTTTTTTTTTTTTAATTCTATCAGCCATGTATCGAGAAAAATTTCCATATTGTATGATATTACATTTCCCTACTCTCGATACTTGTCAAAAATTCGACGAATGCAATATCAATGAAAAAATCATGAACAATTGAAAATCCTAAAAAATTTTTTTCAACCCCAAAGTTTATTGTATATAAACATATTTCATAAAAGCAGCGTAAAAAAGTTTACGACACATGTTTTAAATAAAAAAAAAAATTCACTTGAAATTTTATCGAGATTATCGTGTTAGTGATATATCATAAGCTTTATCACCTATACATTTTTTTGTATCCCTCATATGCAAATAAAATCAAATATATAAATATATATAAAATCTCTTATATAGAATAAAATAGGGTGCCAAACTTTTGAAATTTATATGATGATGTTTAACTGTTAATAGGGAAACAATTGTTTCCCTATTAGTGAATTTTTTGTGAATAGTTAGTGAATTAAAAAAATATATATATATGTATTATAGATGTCTATGGAATTACGCCTTGGGTGAAATTTGTAAAGCCCATCACAAGCAATTACGTAGGGTCGATCCGGCTAAATCGTAGCAGATTATACGAGGGTGCGGATAGATCGGGAAAGGCACAAAATACGGTAGTATATCCGGCAATTGGATTTTCCTCGACTGCCCACATCAGAGTGCGAGATTATCTTTTTATCTTTTTTCTTTACCAACAAATTTATTATCAAACCTCACCACACTAAATTCAATTTAATTCTATTCTATTCAATAACTCGGTGGAAAATAATTATCTTCATATCACCCGCATTGAGATTACGAGCTTCAATGTCTGTTCAATCAATCTAATCAAAACGTGTCATTCTTTACCGGTGCAAATAGTTAGTTTCCGATCAAATGATTTTTTTCCGTCTTTCGGAAGTTATTTTTGTTCATTTAATAATCCGCGCATGCGCTTGAGACGGCAATATTGGCATTAAATTGTCTCTTTTCGGCTGGCTCCAGACATCCTACCTTGAAGCATTAATCCAATTATGAAAAATACAGCGCCAGGATGGAATAAAACACGAGTTATTCCAATTTCTCCCTCGAAGCGTGATACTATTGATTCGGAAATTATTATTATTAATTAGCAATGCGACACATTAAATTTCCTTTGATTCATTAAAAACAAAACGTGAATTAATGCATCTATATACTCTAAAAAGTTTAACTAGCACAGCATACAAAAGACGATAATAATCGTTTTAATTTTGCTCAACTATACTGCGCCCATACCAAGATTGAAACAAAAGTTTTTAATTAATGCAGTAAATACCAGCAGTAAATTAAATGCTGGAAACTATTCCAACAAAACTCTTTTATTGAGGGAGGGAGTGAGTCAGCAAATGAGTAAGAAAGAGGAAATAAAAAGAGTTAGTCCGTTGGGTAGTTCGATTATGGAAATTAAAGCAATCAGGGCAGACCTATGTCACAAAAACGTACCCACCTAATTTCAAAATTAGTAACTTACTTATAGAACAATGTTCAACTGCAGTTGTACCTCCATTTAGGTTTCATTAGCATATTCTCAAATAAAATTCTCTAATTCACTTGGAAAAATACTTTTATACCATTAACGTTGTTCTTTTTTTAAAAAAATTCATTTCATTCGTGTTTAAACTTTGTTAATATAACGAAATTTAAATATTTCTCTCCATTGAAAAAATTACAACTAGAAAATTAAATATTATTTTTTTTTACCCTCGCTACGCTCTCACATAAGAATATTTTACCTGGAAAATTTGTCACTATCCAATGGAAATTTATCAAGTTATACGGTATTATACTGTCACACATCGAAAATAGTGATACTGGTGATAAAATGGGGTGATGACACATACCATATGAGTGAGATAAATTTGATATTGTGACAGGAAAATGTAGTACTTTGTTATTTATTATATATATACATATATCTTTTTTTTGTTGACCATTGACATCTTATCCCAAGGGTTATGCTTTTTTTATTGCGTCAGTTTTTTTATGACAGATAAGACGTATTTTTAGAGCAAATTAATGATTTTATCTGAAATTGATAACCAGCCGCTGTTTAAAATATTCTTTCAGGATATCAGAAAAATTTTTCACGTTATAAAATACTCTCAGATATTAGATATTCTTTTTTTAAAGACACCTAAATATAACTTGCTCAAAGTAGTAAAGTCCACAAGTTTTTATATTACATTCATTGCTTTCAAATAAAAGAAAAATCATTTTTAACTCGGGTCTTATTGAATTTAAATGTGTTGAAACTCTATTAAAGGCCAATAGAAAAAGAAGAAATGAGAATATATTAGGCATGTAACAATATTGCGATCTTATATAAGTAATTTATTTCTGTTTTAAGTGACTATTTTAGAACGGAATTTCATTTGGTGTTAAAAAATTTAAAGATTGAAGATTGAGAAATTGAAGAGTATGAATTCGGAGTCTTTTAGTACTGGCATGTCAGCAAGATTAATCTTTGTCCAGAGTCCCAGACCGACATTCACGACTCTCACGTACACCAAGTTTCCAACACATCGACGTAGATGAACAATGGGCTAATTATGCCAATTTGTTTTCTCTATCCGAGTAGTGTCTGGTTGTTAAGAGAAAGTTCAGCATGACGACGCTGACCAGCAGTTACTCTCTACGATCTTCTCTGGTGGTGTCCAGTGAAAATTACAGAGTGAACTTCACCAAGTAAAGGGCACATCTCATTTTGTCATCATAAACTCTCATTAATGGACTCTCAGCTTGTTTCTTCTGTCACATCACCACGACTCTTCTTTACTTTAAAATCTGTAAATTACAATAACATTATATTTAAATTATTATCGTTGTAGGTATGTCACTTCTGCAAATTTACATGGCCATTATAATGTTGAACATTGATTTTGATTTTCCTGTTTAAAATATAAAAGCTTTCAATTTTTTGCTATAAAAAAAAATTGATGACAAAAATTGAAAAATTATTGATATCAGATAGATTTTTAAAGCGAAGCTTATTATCAAATCTCAATTTGAGGTTCCAGCAAGCTTTTGGCTTGAGGAATTTTTTTCTTACAGCCAAAAGGGCGTGTATAAAAAAAATTATTTTTATATTTCTCATATTTCTAAATTGATTAGAAAAATACAAATTTTTTTGATACATCCTTTTGGTATTGTTAACGTGGTATAATTTTATTGAAAGAAAGGATAAAAAAAATTTACCTACAAAAAATGAATTTGTTTTCCGCTTGATCAGAAATCGCTTTAAAAATTCACCGAAATTTAAGTTTTGTAAACATAAAAACAAACAAATAAATAAATGAAAAAAGTTTAAAAATTTAGTGCCAACTGTTGGAACGTAATCGGAACCATGGGAGTGTGCATCGACAAGAATTGAAAAGTTTTATCTTCCAATATTTGAACCGTAAAAACATACAAAGCATTTTTTCGTTCAATATCGTGAGCCTGTGGATTTTGCGTTTCAAACCCGATTCTCTCTCGCTCTGACACTCTCTGTGCCTCTTTTTTGGTTTCAATATGTGTGTGCAGGTGTTTTTTGTTTCCATTATATATTTTTTCTGTTAAAGATACATGCTCAATTGCATCGCATGAGGGATTGTCCCGTTTTATTTTTATTTTTGTTTTCATGTTGTCGCTTACGAGTCGTTTGTTCAATGACGAGCACAATTGATCACAAAAGTTGTGTTAATTTACGTGTTGGG